GCGCGTTGGCAAGGTAAAAAAAGGAGAAGAAGAATAAAAACAAAAACGCGAAGATCGATCCGGCGAGAGGCTGCGGGAGATTCCCTCCGACGGTCCGACAATTCGATTATCCCAGCCGATTGGATTTTCCGCGCCGTCCATCAGGAGTAAATTATTTCGTGCTATGGTCGGCGACACATCGTGTCGTTGCGCAACGGCCGTGGTGCAGTGCGAACGACGCGGCGCGACGCGACGCGACGTCGCAGGGCGCATGCAAAAATAAGCGTCGCTTGCACTTTGCGTCTGATGCATCTTTCATGTAACTTTCGCGACGCGTTTTGAAAGTTCGCGCGACTCGATACGCGACGTGCGCGCGCGCTCGCGCGCGAATTCCGAGACCGAGTCCGGCAGACATTTTGAAAATCGATCGCCCGGGGATTTATCAAGGCGAGACACGGGGCTGCAGGCGATCCGATATTCGTTTGCCCGCCCGAGCCTCGTATCGGAGCCGGCCAGCAACTGCGAACTTCTCCTGTCGAGCGCTCGTACTCTGTGAGAGGAAGTTTTGCTAATTTAACAAAACTGGACAAAGGGTTTGCACAACCTCTGCACCATTAATACGAAGAAGAATTTAACAAAATACTCGCAACAAATGGTTTGTTCATATGGGACAGCAACTGACCCCGTAATAAGAACAAACGATTTGTTAATCGTCTGTTCTAATTTGATGCTTTAAGCAACACTTCTGTAATGGAGAGCTAATCTAACCTAACCTAACCTAAACAAACGAGAACAAACGTGATTTATATCTCAGACGATATAAAATAACAAATAATGAAAAATGATTTGTAACGATAATCCGATCTGTTTCCCTAACGATCACAGCAATCGTGCTTATGTTGTGATAACCGTGGGATTTTTTTCAGTGCGAGACTATCTCAATAATTGTTCATTGAGATTCAACAGGGGGTTGCTTCCTAGATAGATTTTCATGATTATCACGTGAAATAATCGATAATAAGGGACTTTACAATTCTTTTAATTACACTTCTGAAATAAATATACTATACTGAATTAATTATCAAATTTGCATCGTATATAATGTAATTTTTTGTTGCATTGATGCAGTAACAAATTCATTAAAAACTACACTCAGAATTTCATACTATATTTAACCTTAAACATGAATAAATTTTATATATTTAATAATCGGTGTAAAAAAAAACTAAAGAATATGAATATATTAATTTTTCGCGATTCAATGAAGTTGAGAAGAGTTATAATAAAAAAACAAAATACGTTTTTAAGAACGGTAATGTTTGAAAAGTTAGTCTGAATAAATGTTATTTATGTTTAAGATTTTAAACATGGCATATTCTATGTGACAAATATGATTGCAATCCGATCTGTCATAAAGAACTCAACGTTGCTGAATTTCGTGATTTAATATACTTGCAGTTACTATAAAGTTTACATATATGAATAAAGTCTATCGAGGTTACTTTTGCAAAAGCAGCACGTTGAGTCAAATATTGCATCAAATTAGCGCAGATAGATGGTTACACTGAGAAACAAATGTTTAGTATTTGTAACTATAATCACAGAGGATGATAAATTATGGATATTAGAATTTTATGGATATTAAGAAAATTATTTTTTTGCTATTAAATTCTAATATTGGTGACAATAACCTTATATGCATGTTACTACTATCATTTTCGTGTTAGAGTAATCGAAAAATATTTTGAGATTAAAATTAACTATAACTTCGGTTGGATCAACTATTTTTTTTCTCTTTCTACAGAATTGCAAATTCAAGTATGTTATTTTTAAATACATAAGCATATAATTCGGCTGAAAGTCTTTCTACATGTTCCTTGTAGTTTTAAATCACGTCATTTAACACGTTTAAGAAACATGCGAATTATAATTCAGCATGTTTAAATATATCAAATAATTTAAAACGATAAAATGACTTAAAACATGTAAAAAGAGATTCAGTTAAAATAACACATTTGGATTTGCAATGTAATAACGTGTACAACTTTGTCTCAATTGGATTTCACGAGTATAGTAACAAACCTTGAAAATTTTTTGGGATCTAATTGGGATCATTCCGATTTCCCTAAAAAGTTATGAGTTCTTGGGAAATCTATAAAGATTCGGAGATTACATAGAAACGTAATGTTTTAAAAATGCGATTACAAGTAGAAAGTCTAAATAAATTCCGCTTTCTCTACCGAACGTTTTTCCAAAGTTTTTTTTTCGATTTCTACGTTAAAATAAAAATACCAACACTGCAAGTCCAAATGTATTATTTTGACTGAATCTCTTTTTACACGTTTCTTACCACCTTAAGTTACGTAATTTATCACGTTTAAATATATTAGATTATAATTTATACGTCTCTTAAACGTGTAAAGTGACATGACTTAAAACGGTGAAAAACATGTAGAAAGAGCTTCAACTAAATTACACGCTTATGCATTTAAAAATAACACATTTGAACTTGCAATAAATGCTCGGTCACGTACCTAATTCTGGACATACTTATTGTTTTGATCTTCAAATATAAATATTTAAACTTTTAACATAAAAAATATATATGCATACAAATATATACACATATAGAATATATACATATATTCTATAGAATTCTATTCTATATATTCCATATATTCCAGATTAAGTACATGTCTAAATATTGATACTTTTATCTTATATTTATATTTATTATATTTTTATATTTATATTAAACAAAATATCTGAAACGCTTTGAGTATATTTGCATATATTTTACAAAGTACAAACACTTAAAAAGAATAAATTATAAGGATAAATACTTAAATCGTTTCAAGTATTTTGCTCAACTTCTTTCAGTTATAAATATTTTGAATGAAACAAAATATACTATATTTTTATTTTAAATATAAAACTTTAACATCACATTAAACATTCAAGTGTATTGAGAATCGTAATACGATACACTTATTTGGAACAAATTTGAATGCCATGGGTACTACATTTGGGAATGTTTGGGAAATTTCCATACGGGAATCGATACGCTCACTTTCGTCAAATCTGTGAAGAAATTCGTAAACGAAAAAACACCGTGTGTCTCCCTCTGCGACCGGTGACTCGATAATAATAAATAATAAATAAATGCGGTATGCATAAAAACGGGAAAGCTGACAATGGAATATATAATATAACAAAAGCTGTCGCGTGTAAAATAAATTACGGTATACATGTATCGCGGAAGTTATTAATATAAATTAGGTTTGAACGCACGTGCGGGTTTTCGAAGAGCGCGAGGATAAAGCGAGTTTAGAAAGCTCCACTCGATTTTGATAGAATTTGTTAAAAGTTGGTGTACGAGCATCGCGCAAAAATCGTTGGACGGCGCTTTCGCGCGAAGTTTAAAGCTTCAGTTTCTAACTTCTCAGTTTCTTGATCCAGCTAGAAGCTTACCTTATCTCATCTAGAAACTATTCTCTTTGTAACACACGATAACATTAATATCGCGGGGATACACAGTATTATTTAACGCTGTAAAATAGAAAATAGTATCAGTAAGCACGTTGGAGAAATCTTACTTCGTTCAATATATATGTGCGTTGGTGCGTGTGAGACATTGCGTCTAGGTTTTGATCTTCCACCTGTGTCTGTGTGTAGAATAAGAATAAGAAAGTGATATAATCCTCTACACATCTATCATAACACAATTGATTATCATCTAGTAAAGAGAGCGTCCTCGATTACCCGTTCATACTAACCCTTTCTCATGGATTTCTCTCTTCGTCCACGTTCTCGTCTCAACGTTTAATATTCGTTGTATATTCGTTGTACACGAAAAAAATTGGTATTAAGGCTCCTGGATACTCACCACGGCCATATTGGATCCTGACGTCAGAGGCGAGAAATGGCATGCTGAAAATTCCTGCAATTTTCCAATAAAAAGATATTTAAATGAAAGAACACTTCAGGTCCCTTGAATATACTTAATATACTTGAATATACTAAAATGCTCTGAAAACTATCATTTTTTTTTGACAGTCGATAAATAGCTGTAAAAGTAATATGACACAATCATGAAGAAAAGTATGTTAAACAAGATTGCATGTCACGTTAACTTTACGTTTATTTATTGACTGTCAAGGGGAAAGAATAATTTTCGGAGCATTTTATAAGTTCAAACGATCTCAAGTGTTCTTTCATGCGAATATCTTTTTATTTGGAAATGGCACGCTAGAATTGTGGGGAAGCGTTTTCTCCCTCCTGACGTCATCAATCAAGAGTTTCGCCGCGAGGGATCAGGGGCCTTAATTATTATTATACATAGTATACATATATATATAAGTATATATATATATATATATATATACATATATATAGGTATACATATGTGTTAGTAATAATATTTTATATAGGATGTCTAACAATTACATATAAAACTTTAGTGTACGTGTAAATTAGGTCAAATTGAACAAAAGAGTCTTTCATCCTTTTGCGAATAATCACGTAAATTGTTTAGTTATTAATTAAGAAAGATTGGCGAATAATCACGCACGATTATTTGTCAAGCTTCTTTAGTTAATGACTTAAAATTTTACATGGTTGTTTGCAAAATGGTAGAGAAATTTTTTGTTTAACTTACCCTGATCTATACGCACACGAAAATCGTAAAATATATTATCGTTAGACCTGTATATAATAGTAAATATATTATATATATACACTCCTATATATATATATATATATATATATATATATATATATATATATATAATATAATAACTGAGTATATCTGTTATTATAATAGTATACGAAAACACAGTTATATGTTTTAAATTTGACATACCACGAAGAGAGTCAATGACATGGGGCAATTTAAAGCGAGGATAGCGACGGATATGTAAAAATATTTAAAATATGCATATAAGGAATACTAAAGATAGAGAGAATGTGTGACTGAGAGGTAGAAAGAGAGAGAAATGAAAAGAAAGAGGCATGCGACTCACCAATGCCTGGGCGGCGCTCTGGTGCTGCAAGCAAGAAACATCCAGTTACAATCACAATAACGACAATCAATTAATGTTTCTTAGTAGCTCGTGTGATAACACTAGTGATAAACAGTTAAACAATAATGCGGTGCTGACGAAAGCTTCAACATCGACTGGTACACAGAAAGAACACACCGACAAAAGTAGTGGGTATATGTGAAGCCGTAGAAGCTAGGGGCAGTCTCATAAATCGACGGTTACGATTCGCGTATTAGAGAGAGTTCCTCCGATCGATCGCGGTGAACGCTTTCGAAACTATGAGGCAGTATTCGTGACTTCGGTCATCTCGAGAGATTACATATTTTTCTAATTTCTTCTTCGACACGAGACCGCGCGTTACAACTCGACTAGAGTTTTATCTCCTGACCTCCCTTGTTCTGACTCTTCTGATCAGATTCATCCTAATAAGTTATTTGATTTGTGTAAAATGATACTATTGAATTCTAATTATTAATCCTTCGCGTATATAATATTGAGTCTGTGAAACGCCGAATCAATATTCGATCAACTTTTTCTCTAAATCTCTTATGGGGTGAAATCCCACACAAAACGAGTGAAAAATGGTAGTATTTTCACTCGAGGCGATAGTGGAAATACTACCACTCGAAGCCACAAGAGTGAATGTTTCATTCAAAATTAGAGTGGATTCTGACTCTACATGAGCGAATCGTTTCAATTGTAGTAAATATGACCCTATATAACAGTGGATATAACATCAGATTCACTCTTCAATTTCGAGTGAAAATTTTTACTGGGCGATTCAGAGGAAATTTAATCTACAGGAGTGAAAAATAACTCGAATGACTCGGCTTATCACTCTAATTTTCGAGTGAAATTTTACACTAAGAAATTTGGAGAATAAAGGAAAAACTTTTCTTCAAAATAGCACAATCTGTATGCACATTCGGGTTTTATTACGTTATCTTATAGCTGAGGCTTTCTTACACAGAGAGAAAAAATACCTAAAAACGAAAAGATATTCAGCGGATACTAATAACATAACATTTATTTACACCTAAATTGTTTTACTGAAATAGGAAAAACAACTGTTTTCACGAAAAAACTAGAGTTTTGAAAAAATGTACATTTCCTTATATGAATAATATTTCTTTTCAGTGCAGAAATATGTATATTAGTGTAAGTAAATGTTATTAGTACTCACTGAATAAGTCTTTTTTTTCTTAAATATTTTTTCTCTCGGTATATATTTCTAGAAAAGAATATGTCCAAAAATATTGATTTTCAATAAAGTTATGATGGTTATGGTTCAAAGTTGTTCTAATCTAGCAGGCCTAGATATATTGTATGTTTGTACTGTACGTTATACTGTACGTTTAAAAAAATATAATTGCACGAAAGTTAACAAGATCCTAATTATTAATAATCATTAGCAAGATGCTGATTGCCATACTGCGTTACATAACTTATTAGGATCCCTATAAGCCTGCCTCGTATACATGTAATCAGATAACTGATTGGAATCAACCTGATCACAGCACCATGGGATAAATTTCTAGTCAGGGAGCTTGTAAAATGCACGAATTCGTTAGTCAAAGCACTAATTGAGTGCGCTTGTCGCGTCTGTTGTTACCGACGCCGCGAACAATGTGGAGTGGTAACGACGATAAACGAATTTCATTACTGATCTTTAATCCGTTTAGCGCGTGCGGCGGTCGATCTTGGTGGCGTTCTCCAAAAAACGCGCGCGCCGATCGGCCGATAAATTGTTCTCTTTACAAGAACAAAAGGATAAATCTCAGCATCCTGGCTTTGACAGTCAAGAGGATCAATCACGATTCTTCCCCTCTAGCGTGAATTCATAAAAAGTGAAAGTTTTTTAACTTCAAAACATATGGAGATGTTCACTTTTCATGAGATCGCGCCAGAGAAAAAGATTCATAATCGTCCTTGTGAGGTGTGTTCGAAACTATTCTTCTGAGAGCATGCGTTCTCACTAAGAGGAAGAAAGGGAAAAAGCCTAGCACTCGTTTGCATATCTAATTTCATTCGCCAGGGTAACACTGAAAAGATCGATCCTCTACGCCGGCGATTAAAAAGCACATAGCGTCAATGAGATTCGAAAATCGACAGCATTGCGGTCGTGATGCGCGGCCATTAATTGTTTATCAATCACCTATCTCGCACGACTTCGTTCTATTTGCACGTGTTGTTCGTGAAAAAGCATCACTCGCAAAGAGAGCGAGAGAGGAGACGCGCACGTTGCATAAAAATATTTATCCACGTAAGCACCGCGAATGCTGTCATAGTCAGGCCATTGTAACTCGTTTCGAGATTTAGTGTTTTTCGCGGAAAAGTCGAAAAAAGAACGAAAGTAGCGTTTGTGTCGTGACGGTAAAATGGAAAAAAGCGGTGTCGCGGCGTGACGTGGATATGACGCGGGAAGAAATACGACGTTTTGAAAATGCGCGGCTCTCACGTCGACCGCCGAGCTCGATCCGAAGCTCGTCTGCGAGCTCGGATGAAGGCATGTCGCAAAGCACCCTCTTCGTCGTCGTCGTCATCATCAGTCGATGTCAAACGACCCAGAAAACATCGGATTGACACTCAAGAAATTAAAGCACTTGCCACGGAAGATGAATTTCGCGTGGGTGCGAACGCGTGATAGCTTCGTGGCGAATCGCTGTCAGCGTGTCCCCCGGAAGACACGCAGGAGACACGAAGAAAGAACAGAGTTTAGAGCGGTGAGATAATATTATTCGACGCGCTAAGCGCCGTCGGAAAGCGGAACGCCGGCTTATGGAGCAAATTTCGTCGTCTTTGGCTCCTGTAATCTCGCTGGGAACTCACGATTTCCGTTCACGGTGTGTATACCTTTCGCGATATCGGCCGGTCTCTCTGTGGGCGAGAGGAAAAATCAATATTCCAGACAGCCGGTCTTTCGGAATACGCGAAATTCAGCTCGGCAGCTCGATTGTGCCGGCGCGTGCGAGCTGGAAAATAACTTTCGCGGGAAACGTGCGCGCAATATAACGGCGAGATCAATCTTGCCGGGGCTCCGCGAATATTCATAAGCGGATTAGTAGATGAGCGCCAACTCGTCGTAATTAACGGAACGCTCGCGAGAACGGGGCGGAAGTAAGCAGCGGCGTAAGGGAAAATTCGCACCTTGGCAGAGAAAAGCAGAAAACAGAAAAGCAGAAGCCAATCAGAAACTGCTCTGGTAGAGAAGCAGAAATTGTCGACTACCAGCACGAGTGCCGACCGTCTTTCAGCTTTTCAGCCGAGGTGCCAATTTTCCCTAACACTTTTACGAGAAGTCGCGAAACGCAGACGGAAATGTGTGGAATTTTAACCGCCTCGGCTCACTCGCGTGATAATAATAATAAACAGAGTTGCTTTCACGACAGGACTTAACAAACCCATACCAATGTGTATTTAATTAGAGAAAAGCGGCGAAGTCGTCGATTTATGGTAATGCGACTGTGGTCGGATTTGTTAGCGAGAATGTGGTGGGTAAATAACAGATGGACTGGACAAGATAGCTCGTTACGTGGATCTCAAAACGCATTACAGTATTCCGTGACGATAAGGTCGACGAGTCATCAAGAGCGACGCCGTCAAGAATCGCAGGGAAAGACGCATTAAGAGACATAATGAAGGAGTAAATACAGGAAAGGAAGAAAATGACAGAAGTCGCGTTTCCTATCACGCCACGTGATAGATTGTTCTCCGGCAAACACTTGTTCTGCTTCCCTCTTCTCTCTCTCTCTCTCTCTCTCTCTCTCTCTCTCTCTCTCTCTCTCTCTCTC